TCCGGATCTTATCAGTTTCGTTTCAAATCAAAATATCTTACAATCAATATTTATGGATTATTTACATAATTACTATACGTTGCTTTAAGTTTTAATAAACTTGACACCATATGGTTTAGGTTGCCGAGCGTAGCCTCGTGGTTATCATGTTGGTCTGTGAGTCTGAGAGTTTATGGTTCGCGATAGATAACCCTCGAGATTCCCAAGCTCATTAATGGAACAAGATTGGCAACATTTTGAATTTAGATTGTTTCTTGCACTGTTTGATTAACAAGCAGTTACTTCATTTGTTTATATATTTATAAAAAGTTCTGTACCGTGGTATCACTATGGTTACTCCCTATTAAATAGGAAGATATTTTATAGTTTCACAAACAAAAAACGAAAAATTACCCGCTGCAGGAAAGCACCTTTTGTACCTTAAATACTGTACAAACCTGAAGTACTTCGTGTTTAGTAAAACTAAACTTTCTAAACAGGAGAGCTACGTTACTGGCTTTTCATTAAATTTCTGTTAGAGTTATTATAATTGTTTCACATATAAATATTTTTTGAGCTTTACATACCAAAGAACGACGTAACCAGGAAGAAATACGTGTGAAAAATCAGAATTACTTGCTTTTCATTTAGTGGATATTTGAGTTTTTAGGTGTTAAGCCGTAGTATGAGATGTCTAAATTTGCACGTAAAAACCGAAATAAATGGATTTTAATTACCATTCTTTGATGTCAACACACTTTAAATTTGTTTGTTTGTGTATTGAATTTCGCGATAGCCACTCAAGGTCCATCTGTGTTGGCCGTCCCTAATTTAAAAACAATAGATTAGAAAGAAGGCAGTTAATCAACACTACCAACCGCCAACTCTTCTGCTACTCTGTACCAACGAAAAGTGGGAGTGACTGAACCATTATAACGCCCCACCGGCTGTAAGGGCGAGGATGTTTAGTAACGGGACTCGAAACCGAGACCCGCAAATTCTGAGTCTAATGCCCTAACAACCAGATATACCCGGCCACCTTTAAATACCAAAACATAAAGAGGCGTTTATACACATAGCCAAATATATTTTGTTCAATTATTTGATTTAAAAAACGTTTTTAATAACAAAATTTGAATATTTTTCTTATTAATATCTACATGGTCAAGACATGATCATATCGAACATTGGCATATAAAAAGCGTCAAAAATATGTTTAACATTTTGTAATTATATACAACGTAATAGAGAAAATAATTACGTATCAACTACTTATGAAAAGTACGGAAAGAATGTTTAATGAACTGGGTAATCTTGCTATTGATTTTAAATTAGACATGCTGACGTACTATTAATATAGAACAAAAGTAAAGTTACAGGAATACAGTCAAGGAGATGTTAGTAATAGTGAGAGGATCATAACAAATATGATGTCTCTTAAATACGTAATGCATTTGTTATGTGTTACTATGATTGCAAAAATCTCAACTTACGATTTATTAATCTTCTAAACTGACTGAAAAGGGTAAATTTTCTCTCATATGCTCCACTTGGACAAATGTTTAAAACATCTGTGTTTTGAATTAATGTTCTCCCTAGACAAAGTACTTATATTGATATAATTCATCTAAACTTTTAAGTTGTATATTGTCAAAGGCACTAATTTTAGCGGAGTTTTATGTGATCAAAATCTTCTTCGTTGGCATTTCGTGCGTGTGGACTTCCATCAAAATATTCTGCCTTCACCAACAACATTCTTGTAAGTATGCGTGTGGACTTCCATCAAAATGTTCTGCCTTCAGCAACAAGGAAGTCCACACGCATATTTACAAGAATGATCAAAATGTTCTGCCTTCAGCAACAACATTCTTGTAAATATGCAGTTTTATTTCATCCACGAAATGAAGATCTTCATTTAATATAATTCATGAAAAAACATCTTTAAAAAGTTTATGCTGAATACTTTTTATTATTAAATCTAGATTTTGTTTGTTCAATAACCGTACTTAATGGATTATATAGGATTGTAAACGAAACTAGATTTAGTTAAGAATGGTTATTCAGACACATTTCTCCTGTATTTTGAATTAATGTTCTCCCTAGACAAAGTACTTATATTGATATAATTCATCTAAAATTTTAAGTTCTATATTATCAAAAGCACTTATTTTAGCGTGGTTTTTTGTGATCAAAATTTTCTTCGTTGGCATTTCGTGCGTCTATATTATCAAAAGCACTTATTTTAGCGTAGTTTTATGTGATCAAAATCTTCTTCTTTGGCATTTCGTGCGTGTATATTATCAAAAGCACTTATTTTAGCGTAGTTTTATGTGATCGAAATCTTCTTCGTTGGCATTTCGTGCGTGTATATTATCAAAAGCACTTATTTTAGCGTAGTTTTATGTGATCAAAATTTTCTTCTTTGGCATTTCGTGCGTGTATATTATCAAAAGCACTTATTTTAGCGTAGTTTTATGTGATCAAAATATTCTTCTTTGCCATTTCGTGCGTCTATATTATCAAAAGCACTTATTTTAGCGTAGTTTTATGTGATCAAAATATTCTTCTTTGGCATTTCGAGAGTGTGGCGGTCAACACACAGTTGGGTAGTCAGTAAGGTTTCTGTTTTTTCACCCTTCACTGGATGTAGGTATAAGTTAAAATACTTAAAGTCCGCTACAATTAATTTTTAAGCTAATTTCTTTATGAACATGTCTAATAATAGCACAAAATGCGTTAAGTTTCTTGCATAGTTAATGAAACTATAAATCTAATAGTTTGTGCTTAAATAACTCGCTTCATATTATGTTTAATTAATTTGAACTTTGTAATTTATACGTACTTTATTTATCAAAGATGTTTGTTTTGAATTCCGCGCAAAGCTACACGAGGGC